CAGGGTCTCCCTGTAGCCCTAGCTGGCCTGGATTCGCTATGGAGACCAGGCTGGCCTCGAACTCACAGAGATCCGCCTGCCTCTGCCTCCTGAGTGCTCTCTGACAGTTTCATATATGTATATACTAAGTTTTGGTCCTTCTCACTTCTTATTACCCCTTCTCATCTCCCCTACTGTTGAAACCCCTTTTCTTCCAACAGGTCTCCTTCCTACTTTCATGGCTTTGTGTGTATCTGACCACTGAGTTTCAACAGAGTTGTCTGTATGAGTGTGGGAGGGAGGTGCTTACTGGAGCATGAGCAATTTGTCAACGGCTATACCACTGAAAAAAGTGACATCCCTTCCTTCAGCATCCATTAATCATCAATAATGCCTCAAGGATGGATGGGGCCTCATGAGCCCTCTCCTTTCCTGATGAAACGCCCATGGGTCCAGTCTTGTGCAGGTAACCATAGTTACAGTGCGTTCATGAGTACATTGGCCATGTCAAGACCAGAAGATGCTGTCTTGCAGTATTCTTCCCTAACCTCTGGCTCTTACAATCTTTCTGTTCTCTCTTCCATGATGTTTCCTGAGCCCTGGGATGGGATGGGGTGGGGGTGATATAGAGGTCCTGTTTAGGGTCACTATCAGTACTTTGATCAGCTGTGGGTCTCTAGTATTTATTTCTTAATCAAAATAAAATTAAAGTGCATGTGCATGTGTATGTCCGAAAGGGCATGCCCGCACATTCACACACATACACATTAAGCATGTTTTTGGCTCCAGTTGCGGACTCTCACCTTCATTTTCTGTATTGGCTGGCACGGAGTCCACTCCAAAAGGATGCCACGGCTGGAGATCGTCCAGGCTGAACTCCCCATTCACAGGAAGAAGCTCCACGGTGGTTTTTGTTTCGGTCAAAGATGGCATGAGGGCATCATTTCCATAACTGATCCTAGGTTCACTGATCATGTTGGCCAAGACATCATCCGAGTAGTTTTGCTCTTTTTGAAGCAGCTCATCTAAGCAAAACAAATTGCATCCTTCGTGAGTAACTATGGTCACAAGTAGCCATAGCTTTGGCAGAAGTTCACACCGATACTCTGCCATGCATAAACGGACATCCTTAGGAGTCACCTAACAGATGTCAACACTGAGGTACATATACATTAAGTCACTTAGGCGAAATCACAGCTAGTGAGTGCCCTAGTGGGCTTTGAACCCATGGAGAAGGGCAGTGAGTTGATGCTGTGTCTCTGCTGCCCTACTCTTCCCTTGAGAAGTTAACTGCCATTTCCTTCTCTACAGACTCCCCATGTATCCAATGAGGACAAGGAAATACACAATATGCTCTGATGTAGCACTGGGCAGAGTGCCAACATCGGGCAAGGGGGGTAAGGTGCACCCTCTTAGGTCCAAGACATACCCATGGAACCCCGTCATTTGTGAACACGTGAATGGGCAAGAAGAGCATTATGGACAGGCAGCCTGCTCTATTCTTAAGTAGTTAACACTATGCCTTGAAGAAAAACAGTTGCACTGCTTAAATGAGCAAGTTCTAAAAATAAGGCCTCTTGTCCTTTTAGGTGTAGTGCTGAAGATGAAGACAGCATCATCCAGCCTTCTCTAGGCTAATAATGCTCCATCCCTTCCCAGGATCACCCATGGGACTTGAGACCAAGGCGCCTGTCTTTCCTTTGGTAGCTTCTTCCAAAAATTGCTTTTGGCACTCCACTTTAAAAACTGAGCAAATGGACTGGAGAAATGGCTCAGTGGTTAAGTGCATGTATTACTCTCATAGAGGACCTGAGTTGAGTTCCCAGCATCCACATTAGGGAGCTCACAACTGCCTATAACTCCAGCTTCAGAGGATACAGAGCCCTCTTCTGGCCTCTGACCAGATCCAAGGTCTCTGACCCCAAAGGTCCCTGTACTCATGTGTAAGATCCACATACATAGACAGTTAAAAATAATGAAAATAAATCCTAAAAAACTGAGCGAATAATCAACTTCATGTAACATCTTTGGCCTATCTGAAATTATGATGGTCTCGTGAAACATCCTCAAATCACACATTTCATCAATTAAATGTATTTTACTGGAAAAAAAGAAAAATTAGAATATGACTTTGTATCAAGTGCAATTGCTGCTTTAAATATCATCAGATTTGTGACTCTCTATCTTTTAAAAGGTTCACCGTTTCCCTGGGCTTCGCTCCAATGTGCAGGCCTCTTTTTCTGAGGTCCCTAGGAGCACGGTGGGCCTGACGCCCGCCCCCTCCCCGCCACCTCCCTCTGCTTCCCTGGGCCTGAAAGACCCACAGGCCTCTCTCTGACCCGCAGGCCTCTCTCTGGGGCAAGTCAATGGCTCCCTCTGTGCCTTGACTCTCCCAGCTTCATTCACCCTCCCATCTCCCCCTCCAGTCTCTCCTCCTAGCCTGGGTCCTGTCCCATTCCTTCTCTTGATGCCCCAGACACTTGGGAACGACCACTGCTTCTTAATCCTTTGCACCCAGACCAACTCAGTTCCTTCTTGGGTCCCCAAGAGCACTCTGGGCCTGGCCCAGAGTGAAACACTCAATAAGCCAATTAGAGGTGAAACACTCAATAAGCCAATTAGAGGTGAAACACTCAGTAAGCCAATTAGAAACGACAGGAGAAAGCCTCCACAACAGGATGAATGAAATGGAAAACAGTATCAAGACTGGAAGATAAAGTGGATGAACTAGACCACTCAAGCAAAGATTATGAAAAAATTTAAAAAGCACAAGAATGGAATATGCAGGAATTGTGTGACACCATAAAAAGACCAAACTTACGAATCATAGGCATATAGGAAGGAGAAGAATCCCAAGATAATGGCATGGACCAGATCTTCAACAGAATCATGGAAGAAAATTTCCCAAAATTAAAGAAAGACATGCCCATACAAATACAAGAATCATATAGAACACCAAACAGACAGGACCAGAAAAGAAACTCTCCACGGCACATCATAGTAAAAACACTAAACGTACAAAACAAAGAGACAATACTGAAAGGTGCAAGAGAGAAACAGCAAGTCACATATAAAGGAAAACCTATTAGGTTACAGCTGACTTTTCAGTGCAAACTATGAAAGCCAGAAGAGCCTGGATCAAAGTATTCCCAGTTTTAAATGACCACAGATGCCAACCCAGATTACTTTATCCAGCCAAAATGTCTATTATAGTCAAAGGGGAAAGAAAAAATCTTCCATAACATAAATAGGCTGAAGGAATTCATGTGCACAAAACCACTGAAGGAATTCATGCCCACAAAACCAGCCCTTCAGAGAGTTCTGGAAGCAATTCAAAGTGCTGAAGAAAGGAATGACTATACCCAAGGGGTTGGGGAAAGAAATTCAATGAAGGTATGAGTGTGGAAAAGTAAAGCTATATCAAGAATGTAAACAGAAATAAAAATGAAAGGACCCAATACTCATCTTTCATTAATAACTTTAAATATTAATGGACTGAACTCCCCAGTCAAAAGACACAGACTAGGTGAATGGGTTAAGAAACAAAACTCATCTTTTTGTTGTCTGCAAGAAACCCATCTCACTTTCAAGGACAGATACTATCTTAAAGTGAAAGGATGGAAAAAAAATATACCCAGCAAATGTACTAAGAAAAGAGCAGGAGTAGCAATTCTAATATCTGACAAAACAGACTTTAAATTAAAACTAATCAGAAGAGATGAAGAGGGCAACTTCATTCTGATCAAAGGAACAACAAATCAAGAAGATATTACAATCATGAACATATATTCACAAAACTGGTGCACCCAACTTCATCACAACAATACTAAAGGACTTTAAGACCCAGATTAACCCCAACTCATTAACAGCAGGGGACTTCAATACTGCACTGTCTTCATTAGATAGGTCAACAGGGCAGAGTTAACAGAGAGACATCTGAATTAAACAATACCATATATCAAATGGACTTAACAGATATCTTCCGAGTATTCCACCCAAACACCAAAGGACATACTTTCTACTCGGCACCCCATGGAACCTTCTCCAAAATTGACCACATACTGGGGCACAAAACAAACCTCAACAAATATAAAAAGATTGAAATAATTCCATGCATCCTATCAGACCACAATGCAATAAAGCTTACAATGAACACCCAAAGAAGCCCCATGAACACATGGAGATTAAGATGAACAGGTCAAAAGAGAAATTAAGGAAGAAATAAAAGTATTCCTGGAACTAAATGAAAAGGACAGTACAACACAACAAAAACAAAACCTCTGGGACATGCTGAAAGCTGTTCTTAGAGGGAAGTTTAGAGCTCTAAGTGCCTACATTAAAAAATCAGAAAGAACACAAATAAATGACTTAACATTGCAACTCAAGACACTTGAAAAGCAACAGCAAATGAAACCCAAACCCAGCAGACAAGAAGAAAAAGTAACAAAAATTAGGGCAGTATGAAATTGAAACAAAGAAAATAATACAAAGAATCAAGGAGTCCAAGAGCTGGTTCTCTGAAAAGATAAACAAGATTGACAGACCACTAGCCCAGTTAACGTAGACCAGGCTGGCCTTAAACTCACAGAGATCCACCTGCCTCCCAAGCGCTGAGACTACAGGTGTGCACCACCATGCCCGGCTATATAAGGGAATATTTTTAAAACCTGTATGCTACTAAATTTGAAAATCTAAAAGAAATGGATGGATATATCTAAAATCATGGGAACCTGCAAAGTTAAACCAAGAAGAGATCAACAGGTTAAACAGACCCATAATATATAAGGAAATCAAAACAGTAATACAAAACCTCCCAACTAAAAAATGCCCAGGACCAGATGGATTTACAGCAAAATATATCAGACATTTAAAGAAGATCTGCATC